ATGCTATATTCCGTCTTGACTACCTTATCCACTTGTGTTGCCACTTTCAGGGAACTGTGGAACTGGTATGCCTAGATCCCTCTAGGTTGATGCTACTAAGGGCTCTGCCATTTACTGTAAGCTTCGCCAGCACCCCCACCCAGTCCTGCATTAGATCTCCCAAAATGCATCACCTCATATTTGACTGGATGAAACGCCATCTGCTATTTATCCTCCCAAATCTCCAGCTGATTTATGTCCTGCTGTATCCTCTGGCAATCGTCCTCACTATCCGTAGCTCCCCCAATCTTTGTATCATCCGCAAACTTACTAATCAGACCATCAACATTCTCTTTTAATTCATTTATATATATTACAAACAGGGGTCCCAGCACTGATCTATGCTGAGCACCAGTGGTCACAGATTTCCAGTTGGAAAAAATCCCTCCCACCACTACTCACTGTCTTCTATGACTAAGCTAGTTCTGTATCTATCTTATCAGCTCACTTCCTCAAAAAACTTAATCAAAATGTGAGACACTACCTTCCCCGCAAACAGCAATGCTACCTATCGCTAATAAGCCCATATATTTCCAAATGTGAGTAAGTTCTATCCCTAAGAATCTTCTTCAATAATTTCCTTACCACTGATTTAAGGCTCACAGGCCTGTAATTATCTGGATTATCCCTATTTCCCTTCTTAAACAAAGGAACAATGTTGGCTATTGTCCAGTCCTCTGGGACCTCTCCTGTGACTAAATAGGATACAAAGCTTTCATGCAAGGCCCCAGCAAATTCATCACCTGCGACCCTCAGCATTCTGGGGTGGATCCCATTAGGTCATGTGGACTTGTTTAATTTAACACTTTCTAAAATACCCAACACCTTTTTTATATTGACATGCGCCGGAATATCAACATACCCCTCCCGACAATCTGCATCCATCTATACTTCTCCTTGGAAAATACCAATGTAAACTTCCTCCAGCTCCACACAGAAATTCCCTCCTTTGTCCTTGAGTAACCTACACTTTGCCTAGCAACCGTCTTGCTCTTTATCTATCTATAAGATGCTTTGAGATTTTTCTTAATTCTGTTTGTGAAAGACGTTTCATGGCCTATTTCACCCCTTTAATCCTCGTTTGAGTTGCTTCCTGCTGTGTATTATTCGAGGGCAGTGTCTGTCTTCAGTTTCCTAAACCTTATGAATGCCTCCTTTTTCTTGTTGACCAAGTTCTCAATTTCTGTTGTCATCCAAGTATCCTGAATCTTGCCATCCTCATCTTCATTTTTACAGGAACCTGTTGGTACTGAATTCTAATGAAAAGATTCCCACATTTTAAGATGTGGATATGACCTCAAAAAGCTGCCCCCAGTCTTCATTTCCCAGTTATGTACCTAATGTTGTGGTAGTTAGCCTTCCCCCAATTTAGTGCTTTCACCCGAGGATTACTCTTATCCTTATTCATAAGTAACTTACAGAATTATAGTCACTGTTCCTGAACTGCAACCCCACTGAAACTTTGAACACCTGGCAAGACTTATTTCCTAATCAGGAACAAAAACAGAAGTTGCTGGAAAAGCTCAGCAGGTCTGGCAGCATCTGTGAAGAAAAAAATCAGAGTTAACGTTTCGGGTCCAGTGACCCTTCCTCAGAACTGATGGTGACTGGGAAAATATCGGTTTATATGCAGAAAATAGGGAGGGGGATGGGGTAGGGAGTAAACGATAGGATAGAGCCCAAAGAGAGAGAAGAGCAGTTGGATAGACAAAGGAGTTGATAACAATCTGGCAAAGAGGGTGAATAGCTGTTAATGGGGACTATTAGTGACTAACAATACGTGGTGTGTAATGGCAGGCTCTGTGGTGATAAGGCTTGGTGTGTGGGGTAGGGGGCTAGGAGAGTTTAGTCCCTAAAATTATTGAACTCAATATTGAGTCTGGAGGGTTGTGGGGTCCCCAAGCAGAAAACGAGGCATTAATCTTCTAGCTTGCATTGATTTCGGTGAAACACTGCAACAAGCCAAGGATCTGGCACATCTCGAAGATTATCAGATGCCATTTCTGGCACCTCCAGCAAGATGCCACCACCATATTCTCCTCCCCTCCCTTCTCCGCCTTCCTCAGGGACCATTCCCTCTGGGACACCCTAGTCCACACTTCCTTCAACCCCAACAACTCCCACAGCCCTATAGCACCTTCCCCTGTAACCGGCGAAGGTGTTGGAAATACCAAGACAGCTTAAAATAAATAATTCTATATCTTACCTTGAATGGCAAGAGATGGGGAGAGCACGCTGTTTACAGTTCACAGCCTCTGGCTGCCACCCACATGGCTTTGCAACAAATTGCAACTCAACTAATCAGAGCTGTCATTAGGTAGACTTTGTTTAATTCACTCAGCGGACTCTTATCAGGCTCAGAATGACATGGGATATGGTGAGATGTTTGGTAAGACCCATCTTGATGTCAAGATCACCTTACCACATCATGTATGTTTTTCTTCCCATCTAGCACCGTACCCTCCCAGCACCCTAACACCGCACTTACCTTATGTACTTGGGGATCGACAGTCACTGTCAAAGTGGCTGTTGTGGCCTTTAAATGTCAGAATACAGACTGCTGTACAAAGAGGTGTGGTTTACCTTTCTCTGGCAGTTTTGTACTATGAAAGAGTTCTCACATGGAAGTATGGCACTGCATTTCTGAGGGTGCACTGAGCAGAATACTCTCTCTGAAATGCGGAACTCCCTTCTTACAGAAAATAAAAGAGCTGGAGTGGCAATCTGCATGAGATGCCTCTCTTTGGAAGATCCAGCTCATGTTTTACTGTTCCCAAGATGATCAATTAAGTAACTGATCGATATTTAATGGAAAAAAATCAATCAAGTTGCTTAAAAAACACAGTTATTGGTTTACTATGAAAACAAAATTTATTCAGAAAAGGTTAAACAATTACGTGCACAATCAGTAATATAGATGTGTAAAGGTCTTATCAAGTAAATTATGAAGATCTTGTGGTCCAGAGGTGTTGTCCCTACTTCTGGACCAGAAGGCCCAGTTGAAGTGCCACTTGCCACGGGTGTGTGTCATAACATCTCTGAACAGATTTATTAAAAATAATTTAAGTATCTGTAGTCATGGCTGAGTGATTGAAACAATGGATTTGAAATTTGTTGGACTCTTTCCCATTTAGATTCAAATCCTGTCAACTACGTTTCTCATCCTTCCTGATTTTAGCCATGTCTTCAGAATTCCCTCTCTCTGGTACAGGAATTACAATATAAGTGCTCTTGTTTCAAAATGGTACATGAGCCAAACCTACTGATCTCAACGCGAGGGTAATTTATAAAGGTTCTTGTGGCACGGTAGAATACTTATGTCTGGGCTGGAAGGCCTGGTTAAATTCTCACCTGCTCGAGAGATATGTCATGAGACTTCTGAACAGGTTGATTTAAAAATATCTCAGAATAAATGTTCATTCCTTTAAATGTCCCCAAAATGCACAAACTCTTCAGTAAGAGAAAAAAAATACTAATTTCTCGTCAAGAGATTGGCTTTCTGAAGAAAACATACTTTGATCAATAGATTATTCATTTTGGATGTTCCAGAGTCTGTTGCGCTGATATTCTGGCATGTGTGGTCAAGTTGCTGATCATGCAGTCTTATCTCTGAAGTCTTGCAGATCACATTACTCAGGAAACACAATCTTGAGCTGTTCCTTCATTCCTTCAAAAGAACAAATAGATGTCATCCTGAACTTCAACAAGAGGGTTTTGAGGAATGAGAATGATTGGATGAGCAGCTTATTCATAGCACGTTTTTCTTGTTCTTAGCAGGCTCCCCTCCTACTTGGCTGGATCTTACCAGGCTTTGTTCCAGCAGAACCACTCCAAGGCAATTACTGTTCAAAATCACTTCAGCAGGGTCTAGAGCAAAACAAGGAGTTATCACCAGTCATTTGATTTCTAGGAAACAAGAAGCAATCTACTGTTGGGTTTGAATTACTCTATGCAGATTTTTTTTCTATTGTATTCCTGGGTCGCAGAGGACCACTAGATTTAAATATGAGTTAAGTATTTATGGTAGTCCAAAAGTTCTAATAATGAGGAGTAATATTCAATAATAATGTCGGACAATTGATGTTCAGTTTTGGAATACGCCCTGCAAATGTTCCACCTTGCCCTAGCTGGTATAACACTGTATATGTAGCACATGATTTATACATCTGTGATCTGTGCGGGTTTTACATCATTCCACTCTTTCTGGTTAAATGTTTTATAAACAGATACCTCCTCATTTAGTGTAGTCATGGAACTAAACCCATGCAATTTATGCTCCAGCCCTCAAATCACAGTTTTATAATACAGGAGAAGTTATGTAAGGAATCTTTTGATTCACTATCCAGCTGCCATTCACCAACTTTGCTTTTGGCTGGATTTCTCCCTTTCTCTTCTCTTGAAATGGTTTATTTATGCAAATGTACTTATCATTCTGCAGTACCACCTCACTTTTCCATTCTCTGTGTAACATGCTACATTATAGGAATTAATGGACCATTCTTAATAATCATAAGCAACAAGACCTCAAGCTAATCCTGAATTTTTTATGAGTTATCAAATTACTTTCACTGTGAAACAGTCTGGCTTCCATTACCATGACCCCTCTTTTGCCAAGACAACCTATTTCCATTTCACTTGCAGCACCCATGTCCACTGTGCCTCAGGTCATCTGCTGAAAGGCCATTTACGACAGAGACGAAGAGAAATTTCTTCAGAGAGTAGTGAACGTGTATAATCCTCTGCCATTGACAGCAGTTAAGGCCAAAACATTGAATGTTTTCAAGAAAGAGATGTAATTATTAGAGTTAAAGGGATCAAGGAGTTTGGTGAGAAGGCAGGAACAGGTACTGTGTTGGATAATTAGCCATGATCATATTGAATGATGGAACAGGCTTGAAGAGCAGAATGGCCTATCCCTGCTGCTATTTTCTATGAAAGCTTCATTCATGCCTTTGTTACAGGTTTCAACTGTTTCCAGGATTTCTTGGCTGGCCTCCCACTTACACCCTCCAAGTGTTTTACATCAACTCATCCATTTTCTCTGTGCTGGCTGGCTGCAATCATGTCTGGTAGGTAACACATTGATTTTAAAATTCACATCTTTATTTTCAATTCTGTTCCATGGCCTTGTTTCTCCCTATCTCTGTGCCCTACGTCTTGCTAAATCTACTTCCAGCAATTCAAAGCAAACGAGAAATTGCTTCCTGTTTTCTCAGCTTTGATATCAGCAGCATCAGCTTTATTCCCGTCCCGTGAGTTAACTGGATTCTGAGAATGGGACTTTCCAAGTTGTAATTCAGGAGGCAGCAATGCATTGTGGAAATACATTTGTTTTTAATGTTGGAAAAAAATCTCTTCCCATACAACACTACCAAGGTCTGACACATTTAGATAATTTGCAGGACTTGTTTACATACAGGAATTAAATAGAAAATTGCATTAATTAAATTAAACTGATTTTCAAGGCCCTAAGAAGTGCCAGTCTGATCAGATGTCATTCCATAAAATATTGGAACTTATGATTTTGTGAAATAACTTTGTATTTAATTTTAGCCAGTAGCTAAAGTATTAACACTAATGACTCAACTATGCCACCACTAAAACGTTGATTTCTACTATTATCAGATCTGTGTCACTTTAATTGCAAGCCAATCTGCCAAACACTGACTCAACACCATGGGGGTGAAATTTGCTGACCCTAGCTTTTGAGTGCAAGGACCACAATTTGTAATATCTGTTTACTTACCTTTGATATTGGTGTGGCACATGTTCCAGATAGCCTTTGTCTTGAAAGGTTCTATCTCTCAAAAGAGGAAATGTCAGCAATGTGTTGAAGGCTGCTTGAGAATTGTTTATTGCCTTTCAGAGACAAGGTAAGATGGACCAGAGGAAGGAAAAGTGTTCCTTGCTTCAGTGTCGCTTGGTGTATGCCACACAGCCAAGGCTACATGCAATAGAAATGGCTAAATGATCTTACATCCATTGGATTAGGTCCAAGCTCTGTAGTCCTGCAACATCCAACTGTCAATGGTGGTGGACAATTCATTAACAGCAGAAGGAGACTCCACAAAATTCCCCACACTCAACCATGGGAAAATCCAGCATATCTGTGCAGAAGACAAGACTGAAGCAATTGCATTCATCTTCAACCATAAGTGCTGAGTGGATGATCCATCTTGGCATCATCCAGAGTTCCCCTACATCACTGGTGCCAGCTTTGCTCCCTCTCATATCCACCCCAATTCCACGCACAGTAGCGGCTTCTGGAACCAGAAGTCAATGTGTCCGCACTGGATCAATGTAGATGGACTTGCCAAGTAGCTGTGCAGCCTTGCAGCTCAGTTTCTGAAGGTACATTGGGTGCCCATCTTCAGTCAATTTGATTCACTCCATGTGATCTTGAGAAATGGCAGAAAACAGTGGATACTGTGAAAGCTATGGGCCCTGACAACATTCCAACCTGAATAGTACTTAAGACTCCTACTCCACAATTAGCTGTGCCTCCAGGTAAGCTGTTCCAGCATAGCCACAGCATTGGCATCTATGTGGCAATCTGGGAAATTTGCTCAGATATGTCCTGTCATGAAAGAACCAATAAATTGATGCTCAGGGATGGTACTGGTTCTGAAGCTGAATGATTCCACAAGCATGTGTTATAGAGTCATCACATGACTCAGTAAGGCTGTGGAAAGAGAAAGCCATCCAATGGTATCAGTCAATGAAAATTTAGCAAAACTGGGGAAGAACTTAATATTTTCTAAATTAGACCTGAAGAACAGAATCTGGCAAATAACATGAGGAAAGGACTCATTGCTACTCACGATGTTCATAACATAATTTGGAAGATTCTGTTTTAACATGTTACCTTTTGGAATAACAGCACTAGAGATTGTTCAAAGAATAATATCAATTTATTTAGAGGACTTTAGAGCTCTCTACCACACGTTGATACATGTGTCCGCTCAATCTGAGCACAACATAAGATTGAATGCAGTGCTGAGAAGATGACAAAAGGAAGGATTGATGCTGAACAAGAAGTACATGGTTTCACAGCCAACAATCAGGTTTCGTGGCACATGGCAAGTGTTCCAGGAATAAAGGTTGATCCACTGAAGACCAGAGGTGGTAGAAATTCCGTAGTATGATCCATTGAAATGTGAAGGTAATGCAAAATGGAAGGCGAAGGCAAAGGGAACGCTATTGTAATTCTGGAATGGAAGAGATGGAGTAATAGCAAAAATATGGGAAATGGAACAGACACATTCATGAGCCATTTCAATCATTGAAGAGAATAATCCTTAACGGGGAAAAGCAGACACACCAGAAGTATTGGTATGGAAAGTAGCAACATCAAAATAGTTGCAACTAGGCTCAGAAACTGGAAAAATTGAAGACAGTTCTTACAAGTGTTAGAACCCTTGCTGATTTTTCCTTATTTTATTCTTTTAAGAATTTTGGTTTTGAGCTGTGAACTGGGAATTGTGGGCTGAAGATGATGTGTTCTTTGGGACAGCTTGTGGTAAAAGAAATAGAACTGACCAAAACAAGCCTTGTTTATTTGTGAGATTAGGCCTGGAGGCTAATTACGGGCTGAGTCTTGATCAAAAGGGTTCCCACAGACACAGTAGCCCCAGGAATTTAAACAGATAGCAGAAATTGGCTATTAAAGAGGTATGTGGGAATTGGTTCTGGCAAGTCTGGAAGATACCTTATGTTGAAGCAGATGGCTGTTGTTGGATGGTAATTGAGGCCTCTGGAAATGATGCTCAGTCTATCAGGGTTGAATCAGAATTGAAGTTGTTATTTTTAACTGGTTTTCTGGGGAGATGAGCTTGGCTGCTGACAATACATCATGAAGTTTTAAAAACTGTCTGCTAATCTTCCACACTGGCTTCTGGAAGCCCAAAGAGTAGAAAGCTGAATTAGAACTATTAGCACCTATACTGAGTGAACTGAGAAGGTAACTGTAATTGGTGGTTCCAGAAAAGTGACTAAGGAATCCACATCAATGCTTGTGAAACAATGCATTGCGAAAACCATTTAAGTTATTTGGCCAGCTTTGTTGTCTTCTTTTATTTATCCCTTATCTGTGTTTCTTTTTCTGTCTGTATTTTGTGCGAATAGGGGCTGAAAACAAATGTTTTAGGTTTGAAGAGTAGACGAGGATGGGCAGCCCGAGGGGGGGCAGTGAGGACGGGCAGCCCGGGGGAGGGGGGTGGTGGTGGCGAGGACGGGCCGCCCGAGGTGGGGGTGGCGAGGATGGGTAGCCCAAGGGGTGGCAGTTCGAGGTCTCCCAGCATCTGTGGCGATGCCAAACACGGGGAGGGATCGAGCCAGGGCAAGGAGAGCATGTCCATTGCAGTAGAGGAGTCCAGTGCAGAGGAGATCGAGCCCTTGTGGGGATTACAAGGCCAGCATGGCTAATCACTTCAGAAGGACTGTAAGGTTGACTTTGTAACTTTATTTCTTTATTTCTTTATTTTTCTACTTTACAAGCACTGTAATGTCAAACTTGTAATTCTATTAAAATTTTTCTGCTTTGTACCTAGATACCTTTGTACCTAAGATGGTGCCAGGAATTTGTACACTTTTCACTATACTCCTGTATCCCTGTACTTGAGTAATGCGTGACAATAAACTTAACTCTAAATTCTAATTCCAGAACTGGTACAAAGGATATTCTACCCATTGCACAAAAAGACAGGATTAGCTCGAACCTACATGGGTTCCCATTAATCCTTTTCATGAGGAAATGAGTGCAGTCAGAAAAGCTGTTTCTCAGTGTGTGGAAAGGTTGAGCCTGGCAGAGGCTGGGATCTGTCTGGGCCTCCATTCAAGGAAGTGGAGGAGAGTCCTCAGCCTGCCTGCTGCTGGCTGAAGGTGTTGAGGGGTCAAACATCAATAATGAAAAGGAGATTGGTAAGGCCAGGAAGCTCTTAAAGAGTTGAATGGGATCACAGATACAGGTGAGAAACCGGAGAAAAAGGTAGCACCAAGATAGAGTGAAATAATTTCCTTGCTGACAATAATAACTGTTATCATAATAACTCTATTAGTAGTTAATATTACAGAATATTCTGAGGCAAAACATATTTCACCCAGTAAAGACTAGTTGAACTGACATCCATACAAAGTTCAAAAATCTACATAGGACCCTATGCAAAAATATTGCCTAAGGACAAAAAAAACTTTAAACTTTCAATGTTATTCTATAGAATCCCTACAGTGTCAAAACAGGCCCAAAAAAGTCCACAGCAACCCTCAGAGCCTCTCACCCAGACCCATTCCCCAAACCCACCTAATCTACACATCCCTGAACACTACGGGCAATTTAGCATGGTCAATCCACCCAGCTTGCACATATTTAGACTGTGGGAAGAAACCCAAGCAGACACTGGGAGATTATGCAAACTCTACACAGACTGTCACCCTAGGGGGAATTGAACATGGGCCCCTGGTGCTGTGAGGCAGCAGTGCGAGCCACTGTGCCACTCTGGTGTGTTGAGCTTTCCTGAGAAGAAAGCCAATATCTCACTAAGTTATTAACAGGCACAATTTCAGAATAATGGACTGCCCCTTATTCTAACCCAGGAAAGGAGGTAACAAAACCATCTGGAAATAACCTATTACAGATGTCAAGAGATTCCTGAAAGCAGTGACATTAGTAATATATTTATAACTTATTTATGAGAAGACTGAAGAATTGAATTTTGCCAAAAAAAAGTCATTGATTCTCCCACTATAATCCAGTAAACTTCTGAAGTGCAAAAATCTCTGGTTCCATGAATAAGCAGTTGGTTTTTTGAGACTAAGTGAAGATGAGCCGAAAAATGGGAGGTACTTCTGCTCAGGGCTGTGGTGGGTTCACCAATGATATTATATTCTTTTAAGCACATTGCGTATTCCTATGAGGGTAAGATGTCAAATTGTAGTGGGGGATGAGCAGAAATTTCTGGACCTTGCCTGATGGCCTGTTTAAAAGGCACCTGGACAAGACTTCAGTCTCTATAACCCAGGGCTATCAGTCCCATCACCATTGGATATGTCTGAGATATATGAGAAGAATGCC